GCACTAGGCTTAAGTTTTTTGGTCAGGTCCCAGACGTGTTGCCAAGACTTGCCCTGGAATGGTTGGAAGCAAGTCTTTGTCTATGCCAAGTGTCATTTTCAAACCAAAGTGCCACCTACCAGAAAGAACATGTTTTTGGGATCAGTCAAGTAGCGTGTTTGAATACAACACACTCTGGTGTGTGTGTGCGCTGGTAGGAGTGCTAGAGTACACCCAGTTTAAAGCAGTCTGAATTCTATATGCAAATTGTATAACTCTGCCCTCCAAATCAGCATCCAGATGGTTAGGGAGCCCTTGCCTTTAGAAACAGAGGAATGCCAGGGGTGGAAGGAGGTACAGAGGAGGCCCGAGTGCTCCCAGAGCCATAGGAGGGAAAGAGTCAGCCCCTGAGCATTGTGCTGGGCGGGTTGGAAGGGGGCATCATTAAAAGAGAGTGGATGCCATTTGCCCTCAAGGGGAATCCAGACTAGTGGAGGATGTAACATCAGGACATTCTAGAAGGAATCAAGAACCCCCTGCAAGGCACTGTACACAATTGGAGACCAGGTCCTAGTGATTTCTCATTCAGAGTTCTGAGATGATAACCCTCATACTCAGGGCAGATGACCAAGGACAGTAAGAATTGACTTGACGCTGGCAGATGTCACTTGGCAGAGAAAGCTGGGGAGAGCTCCTCTGGGTGATGCCACAGGCACAGTGCCAGAGTCTAGGCTGCAGGAGGCCAGCGAAGCCAGCTGCACTCGGAAGGTGGAAATGGAATGTTTTAGAAAAAGACTTAATTCCTTTTGGGGATCTTTTTTTGCATTTTCTCATAAGGAGGAGAAGGACTTGACTAAACTCTTGGTTCTGCTTTACTGTAAGAGAAAAGGTTTTTATTCAAGAAAACAGAGGGCAGAGGACAATTAGGAGGGTACTGAGTGAGTCCCAGTGTTAAAGAGCTGGGTGCAATTCATAGTATTGCAGATTCAGAGTGGTTCAATCTCAAGTTTGAAGGAACTGAAAAAAATGGAGATAAAGGGAGACACATTTTCACGGGCTGGAAAAATTGTTTTTGCTTTCTTATCTTTTATCAAAGCATTGATAGAGAAAAACAGCTTCTAGTTCCTGGTGTAATTAGATTCTTGGGAAGTTTAAGAAAAAAAAACCTTCCAAAAAGTCTTGGCTGGGTTAATGAGGTGATTTACAAAACAGTTTAAAGAGGTCACCAGGGATTTAGGGAAGCTGAAAGTCTGTGCCACAGTAATTTGTCGTGCTGAGACATAAATTCGAAAGGAGCATGGTGGGGCCTTGTGACAGGAGCAAGCCCGCTGGCGAGCCTGCTGCCTCCCCGTGGATGGGCCACACTACAGGGTGGCTCTCTCCCTTGCTTTGTTTTGCCTTTTGCTGGGAAAACCATTTGCTAATGTGTATTTGTTAATATGGAAGTTCATAGGTGTGGGACATAGCTCATTTAGTCATAACAACAGATGGCATTTATGTCCCCCTTACTCGACCAACACTGTCCTGAGCACTTCACGCAGGGGAGCTAGTAGAATGGTTAACAGCCCTGCCCCTGGGACCACACTGCCCCACCAGAGGCCTTACCTGCTATGCCTCAGTTTCTGCATTTGTAAAACGGACATCAGAATAGCACCTTGCCTTGTGAGGTTCTCATGAGGATTAAATCAGTCATACATGTGGGTCCTTAGAACTCCTTGGCACAGAAAAAGCACTATTCAAGTGTGGCTGTTAGGATCATAAATGTGAAGGGTTTATTGTATTGACCTGTGATTCTCCCAAAGCTCAGGGTAAACTTCCGTTAGTGACCTAGTATTAAGAATGGGGTCCCACTAGGGCAGTGGGAGGGGAGAATGGATGAGCCTGAGGAGACAGGAAGCAGACAGCCCCTTTGTCTTGCAGGTTCTTTCTATTCCCTCTGTTATGCTCTCCTTGCTCCCCACCTGCTAATATGGACTAGCAGAAGAATACAGAAAATGTAAGAAAAGCAATGTTAAAGTGGGATAAAAATACTAAATGGGGGAAAAAAGAGATACAAACAATGAAAAAGAAGGAAAGAAGGTAGCATTGCAATGTAGAGTTAAAGGCAAGGACTAGCATTTTTAAAGTAGAAGATTAACATTTTTATACTAGAAAGTTGAGATAAAAGCAGATTATGAAAAATAAATTTAGGGAAAGGAGAGGAGTTTAGATATTTACGCGAAGAGAAATGTTTTATAAAAATTAAAGGAATGATCAACTAAAACCCAAAAGCACCAGTAATTAAGGTGTGTGCATTGTTTCAGTTATTCCTGATAACGCCCCTAGGACCCAGCATGAGAGAAGGGAATCTTGGGAAAGTTAAATCACTTGTTAGAAAGTCACTGAGCTGGTTTCAGAGCCTGAATTCTTGCCCGCCTCACTACACTGAATGGCTGGACCTTCATCACAGAGGAGAATGGCAAAACCCAAACAGCTCCCAGAGCTGAAAGCTTCCCCATTCTGAGAGCCCCGAGAAAGGGTTCTTCAGGTTTCAAGAAAAGTGTCTTGTGGAAGGAGAGCAGGGGGTGCAGAAAGTGAAGATCCCACCCCTGGCTTCTGAAAGCCATTAAAATTTTTTTAAAAAAGTTTTTTTTTTTTTTTTTTTTTTTTTTTTTATTGCTTTTTCAGAGAGAGAGTAAGGGAGAGAGAGATGAAAACATCAATGTGAGAAACATCAACCGGCTGCCTCCTGCACGCCCCCTACTGGGGATTGAGCCTGCAACCCTGGCATGTGCCCTGACCAGGAATTGAGCCGGGACTTCTCAGTCCATAGGACGACGCTCAATCCACTGAGCCACACCAGCCAGGTCTGAAAGCCATTTTGAAACCATGTTCTTGGCTTGAGGTAAGATAAAAGCACTGAATCAACAGTGAATTGAGCAGCTGGGCCAATAGGACCAGGTAGGGAATGTAAACGTGTCAAACATCTAGGTATGAGAAATGCCCCATTTTACAGTTGAGGAAGCTGAGGCTGAGAGGTGAAGTAATTTTCCCAAGTCACACATTCATTAAATAGTGTAGTGGAGTTTAAAGCCAGGCAGTCTGGCTCCAGAGACACTACATCTCCTCCCTCTTCCTGTCACCTGAGATATCTTAGCAAACACAAAGTTTGCCTTAAGCCTGGCAGCAGGCATAAACCATGCAGCTTCAAATTTCACATGATATCCTGGTAGTCCCAGTGACTTGAAGTGTAATTCCTTATATCTTAATTTGCAGATTTTTGCCATTTTCCTCACCATCTCTGTTAATATCGGCAGGCTCTGTTATTGAATTTGCTAAGTCATCTGTTGTAATAAAGGAAGCAGAGAAGATTTAGGAGGAAAAGGTCAATCACAAAGTCAGAGGTCAAAGGAAGTCAGAATCCTCTCAGAGTTAGGTCCAAGACTTTCAGCTGCTTTTCCCTATAACATCATGATGATGGATATACTTCCACTTTTCCAGCTGGGTGTTACTTTGGTATCGTTTTCCATTTTTCCTTTAATTTTTATGAACTGATAGCTTGTGTACCAAGGCTATGTCTTGAATGACCCCTCTCCCCCTTCTCTATGGCATGCTGATGTTCTCTCAAAGGAGCTTCCTGCCCTTACTATTCCTGTTTTTCTAATACACATACCTAAACACTCACTGCCATTAACATCATCACCCGGGAGCTCAGTCTACATGGACAGAATTGCAAGTAGAAGTTCAGTCAGGTAATTGATCATACCAAGTCATATGAGAATAAAACCAATTTGTGTTTTCTTCATCCAAGGCAAAATCTCAAACCAGACACCAGGCATTTGGTCTCTCTTGATTGAAACATCCTGTTCCACAGCTTCATGACATCTGGGAGAGTGTGACAATCTCCTGCCTGTGGAACTGAATACTGCTCCCAACTCTATTGGGATTTAATTATATGTTCTAACACTGTTGGCAGATCCTCTCACCTCTTGGCTGTGTGCCTGGGGTCTGTATCATGAGGGCTGGTGCTGAGAGAATCGTCCTTGTCCCCTCCAACTATTCCAGTGCTGTAACCTACTGGGCACTTGGGCCATCCTGCTTCTTCACCTGCTCCAGTGGGGCCCATTCCTGAGAGGTGTCTGATGACAGATTCCACTCTTATCTACTTGACACTGTGGTCACTGGCCATCCCACTGATCACCATGCCCATTGCCAAATAGGTCATGCCCAAGATGCTGCTCTCGCTGCTCCACTTGCAGTGACAGAGGCATGTTTACGAAGCCCCACATGTGACTCTCAGCCACGCACTCCTGGTTAAGAACCTTGGTATAGACATGCTCATTTAATCTAGCATTCCCCTGTTCCTGATGCTCAGCTTTTCCCCCAATTGTTCTCTGTTAAATAACAACAGTGTGCATAGCTGTGGTTAGATCTCTGTCCTGGGTTCTGTTTTCTGGGGTAAATTATTAGAGATAGAATTTTAGAGTCAAAGGACAGACATATTTTTAAGGTGGGGTGTAAAGCATTTTGGCTAGTACCATGTAAAAGCATGTAGTGGAGAAAGCATTGGGCCAGGTGGGAGGAGGCCTGAGCTCAAGGCCACACTGCTGCCAGTGGGGCAGGGCTTTGGGCAAATTTTTCGGTGGCATTTCTCTTCCTTTGGTTTCATTTCCTTTTTTGTGTGTAAAATGAGCCCCGTTATGAATCTACACAGAAGCGATGGCATGGATATTACTCAATTTCTCAGTCCTGCAGGTAAGTGTATAAAAGGAGGGCACATCTGCTGGAGTCCACGGGGGACTGGTGTAACAGCGGGCTTCCCTTTATGCAATGTGATGACTTACTTGAGAAGTGCTTCAGGGCTTCAGAGAAGCTATTGCTGTCCTGTATTGTAAGAGAAAAAAATCTACATTACTATCTGGAGTCTAGTTCATTTTTTAGGTCTCTGATAGAGATCAAAGAGACTTCCTCCACACATATGTCATGGGTGTGGTTCCAAAGCTGATTTCTCCAATATTAATTTCACTCTTGTATCGTTACAGGGAAACTTTATGGTGATGTTCCTTTTATAGAAGAAAGACACAGACATCGGTATGAGGTATGCTTCCACACTGAATCACTGTGGAATATAGATGCTTAGTGTGAGGAACCCCAGTGATTACAAGTGGACCTCTGAAAAAGAATTGAGGAGATAAATGGAGTCCCATGGGCCATGTGGGGGTAGAGGAGATACCAGAACAAGCCCAGGGTTCTGTTTTGAGGGAGGACCGGTGGGAATTGATGCTGAGGAGGCTACCAACAGTGGAAAATAATTTACTGAGTGTAGGTCATTTTTGGTCTTATTTCCATTGGGAACTGGCCCAACTAGTGGGACAAAAACTATTGATCTGCTTTGCCTAAGTGGTGGCTAGAAGGTGTGAGAGCTACTATATATATAATAGTGTGGCCATTAATTTCTTCATATTTACTATTTTTTTTTATCCTCACCCAAGGACATTTTTGCATTTATCTTCAGATAGAGTGGAAGGGAGAGAGGTGGGAAGAGAGTGAGAGAAACATCGACGTGAGAGAGACACATCGAGTTGTTGCCACCCATATGACCCCACCTGGGGCCAGGGGCAAACTGCAGCTGAGGTACATGCCCTTAGTGGGAACCGAACCCAGGACTCTCTGGTCCGCCAGCTGACGCTCTAACCACTGAGCAAAACCGGCCAGTGCTTTTATACTTATTTTGCATCTGATATGATTTGGAGATAAAAGGAGCAAAGATACACATGGTCTCCCTCCTAATTGGGGACGATGAAAAGCAAAATAACAAATAAGAGTTACGCATTAGCCCTGGCCGGTTTTGCTCAGTGGTTAGAGCTTCAGCCTGCAGACCAAAGGTTTACAGTTTTGATTCCCAGTCAAGGGCATGTACCTGGGTTGCAGGTTTGATCCCTAGTCCTGTTTGGGGTCGTATGGGAGGCAACCAATTGATGCTTTTCTCTCTCTTTCTCTTTCTCTCTCTCTCCCTGCCTCCCTCTCTTTCACTCTATCTAAAAAAAAAAAAAATCAATGAAAAAATATCTCTGGGTGAGGATTAACAAAAAAAGAATTAAACATTAAATCATAGATAAGGTATTTGTATCTAGAATATATGAAGAATTCTTACAACTCAATAATAAATAATGGCAAAGGATCTGAATAGACATTTCTCTAAGAAAGGTATACAGATGGCCAATAAGGAAATGAAAAGATGCTCAACATCATTTGTCAACAGGGAAATGCAAATCAAAACCACAAAGAAATGTCACTGCACATCCCCTACATGGCTGTAATAAAAAGATGGATAATAACAAGTGTTGGTGAAGATGTGGAGTAATTGGAATTCTTACACACTGCTGGTGGGAATGTGAAATGGTTGAGCAGCTTTGGAAAAGAGTCTAACAGTTCCTTAAAAGGTTGAACATAGAGTTATCGTATGACCTAGCAATTCTACTTCTACGTGATTAACGAGAGAAATGAAAACATACATCCACACAAAAACTCCTACACAAATTATTATAGCAGTATTATTTATAATTGCCCCAAAAGTGGAAATAACCCAAATGTCTGTCAACTAATGAATGAAAAATAAAATGTGACGTATCCATACAATGGAATATTATTTGACAATAAAAAGAAATGAGCCCTGGCCGGTTTGGCTCAGCGGTTAGAGCATCGGCCTGCGGTCCCGAGAGACCCAGGTTCGGTTCCCGCTAAGGGCGCGTACCTCGGTTGCAGTTTGTCCCCGGCCCTGGTTGGTCGTGTGGATGGCAGCCACTCGATGTGTCCCTTCACGTCGATGTTTCTCTCTCTCTCTCTTCCTCTCTCTCCCTCCCTCTCTATCTGAACAAAAAATGTCCTCGGGTGAGGATAAAGAAAAAAAAAAAAAAAAAGAAATGAAATGTTGGTACATACTACAACATAGATGAACCTAGAAAACATTATGCTAAATGAATGAAGCCAGTCACAAAACCACGTACTGTATGATTCCATTAACATGAAGTGCCCAGAATAGGCAAATCTAAAGAGAAAGAATGTAGAGTAGTGGTTGCTAGGGCTGTGGTGGGGGTGACGAGGGGGCTTGGGGGATGACTGTTAGGGGGTGCAGTATATATTTTTGGATTGATTGTGGCGATGGTTGAATCCTATGTGAATATGCTAAAACCATAGAGTTGTACACTTTAGTGGGTGAATTTTAAGATATATGAATTATATCTCAATAAAGGTGATAAAAAAGGAGAAAAGTTTACAAATTATGAGAACTAGCGTAATGTTAAAAAATAAAATAAAAGCATATGTGGTTAAGATTAAGAATAGGTGAGGCCCCACTTTGGTTTTAGCTGAGAAAGTGCTTTTTGTGAAGGAGAGGCTGAAAGATTTGGGGAAAAGCTAGTGATGAGATGAGTGAGGGAAGGGGCCATGAACCAGGCCATCAAGTTGTCATCTATAACCAATATTTTAGTAGAAAACTTGCTCCAAGCTTCTTTTTAGAACTTTTATGTAACTATATGTAAAGAAAACATTGGAGTTAATCACCAGGTAAATAAAATAGTTTCAATCCTCAAGCAGATTTGTGATTTTGGGAGAGATAGTTAATTTTACACATAATTCAAGGCAAGAAGCAAATATGGCCCTGGCCGGTTTGGCTCAGCGGTTGGACCGCTGGCCTGTGGACCAGAGAGTCCTGGGTTCAGTTCCCACTAGGGGCACGTACCAAAAAAATAAAAAAAAGAAGCAAATATGGGGATGGCTATAAATAGCTGGTTGCAACGTCCCCAGTCAAAATGTCTGTATCACAGTCCTACTTTTTGAATCTGATCTTTGGGTAAGAGAAGGTGGGCCTCACAAATTTAAGGTCTGTGATTAGACTTTCTCAGGTTCATCATGTGTTTAAAAATAGGCTTTAGGGGTTGAATATATAAATTAACAACTGGTTAGAGCATCACTGAAATGGAAAACCCACCCAGTTTGTGTTGGACCTTTTTATCTTAAACTATTTATTTTATTATTTTTATTTTTTATTGATTTCAGAGAGAAAGGAATGGAGAGGGAGGGAGGGAGGGAGGGAGGGAGGGAGGGAGAGAGAGAGAGAGAAAGAGAGAGAGAGAAACAACATTGTGAGAGTGAAACATTCATCAGTTGCCTCTTGCATGCTCGACTGGGCATCAAACCTGCAACCTGGGTATGTGCCCTAACCTGGAATCGAACCCACAACCTTTCAGAATATGGGACAATACTCCTACCAACTGAGCCACACTGGCCAGGGCTTATGTAGGACTGTTTAATAAGCTGATACATCTGTATTACTGTGCTGCCCAAAGACATTTAGTTTCTTGTTTTTCCAGGTGAACCCCACCTTGATCAACCAATTTGAACAGAGTGACTTAAGTTTTGTAGGTCAGGATGTTGATGGGGAGAGGATGGAAATCATTGAACTGGCAAGTAAGTGGGCTCTTCATTTTTAATTTTTGTGTTGAGTTAACATCTTTTTGTTGACTGTAGACATATGGAGCTGTAACTTGAGACCCATTTTATTTGGTCTCTTTCCCTATCTCCTTGGAAATAAATATGCAACTAAATATAAATAATATATACTAAGTATAAAGTGTGTGAAAAAACAGACCACTTGTAATTCTAATCATTTTGGACCTATTAGTATGACCTCACTATAAAATTGTGTATTGTTCTACTAGTTCTGTCAGTAGAATGCTTCCTTACCATCCTTGCCCCCTTCTCTTGTTAGCAGCCTCTAGGTTAGGCACTTGGTGAAGGCAGACAGCCCACTGTTCAGTAGTACTTTGCTTTCTCTCTCCTTTGAGGGAGAGTGGCTCAGTGCCATTTCACTATTGGTGACTAATGATGTCTGTTGCGTGTGGGGCCTGGCCACTCATTTCACCTGGCATCTGCCTTTCCCTATTGCTCATGCTCCATGGTCAAGCATGGGCCAGTCGCTGCACTCAGAGTTTGTAGTGAGACCAAACACAGCACAAAGGAATTGGACTTCTGTTGAGGAAGATCACTGAAGAAGTTGTTTGTGGTTGGACTGGGGCACCCTTTAGGAGCATAGGCACAAATCATATACGTGTGTTATTAACAAGACAGAGGACAGTGTTCTCATTCAAAGCTGCAAAGACAGTGTAAGCCCATGCTTACAGTTGGTCCCAGCTCTTTCTCTTGATATTCTAGCCCAGGGCTTGGTAGACGGCTGGTGGGCCAGATTCAGCCTGCTGACTGTTTTTGTACAGGTTATGATCTAAGAATAGCTTTTCACTTTTAAATGGTTAAAAAAATACATTTTAAGATTGTGACATAAAAATTATATGACATTTTAGTATCCATAAATAGTTTTATTGGAGCACAAGTTGTATATTATGTATGGCTCCTTTTATGCTACAATGACAATGATGAGTAGTTGGGAAAGAGACTTTATAGTCCCCAAAGCCTAACATTATTTACTATTTGGCCCTTTACAGAAATGTTTGCTAATCCCTGTTCTAGACCCACACATAGGCACTTTATTTAACTAACTTGAATTTAACATTTTTAGGTGCCTGCTTAACTTGTTTGTCTATCTGGATATTCTCCTGGCCCTTCCAACTGAACTTATTTAAAACTAAATTTACATGTTCTCCAAACTAGTTCTTCCTCTTGACTATTTCTGTTAAGGTATCATCAGTCTCCTTGTCCAGGGTTTTTCACCCTCACCACCATTGACATTTGGAGCAGGATAATTCTGTGTGGTGGGGGTTGTCCTAAACATTGCAGGATATTTGACAGCATCCCTGGTGCCTGCCCCACCCTCCAAGCTGCAACACGAAAAAACATCTTCAGATATTGCCAAATGTCCCTGAGGGGCACCTTTATCCCTGGTTGGGAATCATATTCTAGACCATCAGGCTTGAAATTGGTTTTATTTAGCTCTTTTGCCCCCTCATACTCCCAACTTGTAATTGCTTGTCAAGTCCCATAGATTCTGTCTCTGGAAAGATAGCATTTGGTTGGGATTGTGTTCTCATCCCTACCACCCTAGTCTGGGGGTGTAGTGACTCCTAACAAGGACAGGGCTCTGACTGTGCAATGTATGTGACACCAATTTGTTAGGTAAACCACTTTCATTTATTGAATGCTTAGAATGTACAGGATACTCTAAAAATGGTAGCATAATTTTCTAGAACCTACCTTTTCAACTTATATGCTGTAGGTTCCAGATAACCTGGACAACTTACTCTTCTAACTTTCCTACTTCTTTTTCCATCTTAGCCCATGTCACTATCCTTTGCTTCAAATTCCCTTTCTTTGTCCCTTTCCTTTTCTGTCTCTAATCTGTTAAGGTACTTCAGGAGTCCCCAGCAGGGAGGAGAGTTGAAGTTGGAAAAGGCTTTTTTGAACATCATAGCATGTTACCTGGACTCTGGAAGAAGGAAAGCAATGGACATTGAGTGTGCACTCCTAGGTGCTTCTTACTAGACCCCCTGCTAGGGACTCCACATGCCTTATATAACTTACGAGGCAGATGATGTTATTCCCACCTTACAGAGAAGGAGACTCTGTGTGCAAAAAGGTTAAGTAAACTGCCCAGGGCCATTCAACTAGTACCTGGCAAGGCTGGATCCAAACCAGGTTATTGCCTCCTTCTGCCACCACTCCTATGGGATTTTATTGTCCCTTAATTTTCACTGGATGTTCCATTTAAGATTATTAATCCATGTTGAAGTTTTGAATTAGAACATGAGAATTTATTTCCTATAGTCTTTCTGATGGGAATGCCCATCATTTAGAACTTGTATAGTGTAGATCACTGGCATGTATGTAAGAGGGCAGAACCTTCCTGTAGCAGATTACTATTTGTTTACTTGGTTCAAATACTTACTCTCTGTTAATTCTCCTGGTTCTTATTATTCTCAGCAAATATATTAGAAGACTCATTCATCACAAGGTTTTATTTTATTTATTTATTTATTTATTTTTTATCCTCACCCGAGGACATTTTTCCATTTTTTGTACAGATAGAGTGGGAGGGAGAGAGAGGAAGGGAGAGAGAGAGAGAAACATCGACGTGAAGGGACACATCGAGTGGCTGCCACCCGCACGACCAACCAGGGCCAGGGAAAAACTGCAACCGAGGCACACGCCCTTAGCGGGAACCGAACCCAGGTCTCTCTGGACCGCAGGCCGACGCTCCAACCGCTGAGCCAAACTGGCCAGGGCTATTTATTTATTTTTTATTAATTTATTTTTGTTACAGATGTTTCTCCTTTTTTCCCATTGACACCCTCCTTCCCATCCCCCCACCCCATCCCCAACTTTGTTGTCCATGTCCATCAGTTATGCGTACATGCATATAAGCTTTATGGTTTATCTCCTCCCTCTCCCCCACCCCCTCTTCTGAGGGTTGTCAGTCTGTACCCTACTTCCACGTCTCTGGGTCTACCTGTTCCTAAGACTGTTATGTTCATTATATTCCACAAATAAGTGAGATCATGTAATATTTTTCTTTCTCTGCTTGGCTTGTTTCGCTTAGGATAATACTCTCCAGGTCCCTCCATGTTGTCACAAAGGATTAAAGAGATCTTTCTTACAGCTGCATAGCACTCCATTGTGTATATGTACCACAGCTTTTTTATCCATTCATCTACTGATGGACATTTGGGCTGTTTCCAGATCTTAGCAATTGTAAATAGTGCTGCTATGAACATGGGGGTACATATATTCTTTCTGATTGGTGTTTCAGGCTTCTTAGGGAATAGTCCTAGAAGTGGGATCACTGGGTCAAATGGCAGTTCAATTTTTACTTTTTTTTTTTATCCTCACCCGAGGATGTTTTTTCATTTTTTGTTCAGATAGAGTGGGAGGGGGAGAGAGAGAGAGAAACATCGACGTGAAAGGGACACATCGAGTGGTTGCCGCCCAAACGACCCAACCAAGGCTGGGGACAAACTGCAACCGAGGTACATGCCCTTAGCGGGAGCTGAACCCGGGTCTCTCTGGACCGCAGGCTGACGCTCTAACCGCTGAGCCAAACTGGCCAGGGCCAATTTTTACTTTTTTGAGGTAACACCATAGTGTTTTCCATGGCTGCATCATCACAAGGTTTTAGATTTCCACTGACACTTTCAAATTTCATGTGGGTTGCAAAGGAAATGAGAGCCGCTGTAAAACCTTGCAATTTAAAAAAGTTGACCACAGGGAATTGATTTTATTATGGAAAATTCCCCAGAAGATTTGGATCTTAGCTACCCCTTAGAAGCATATCCATGAATCTCGACATTACTAAAGCAATTCTAAAAGGAACAACAAAGCTTGAGATTAGTACAATACCAGAATTTGGTTCAAAGCAATTAAGAGCATTATGCAAAAGATACTTTATCTGAAAGATAGAATATCATCAAAATAAAAACTTTATAGTCTCTTTCCTCATATTGGCATAGGTTTTTTTTTTTTTTTTTTGGTAAAGTGATTCAGAGCAATGATCCATTCATTTAAATATTCTGTCCCTGACTATGACATGATCCATTACTCAGCTTGTGCCTGTAGTGGTACAAAAACACAATTACTGTCTGCTTCTTTCAAAGACATTGCTAGATGCTCTGCTGTAAGACTCATTGCATCTTAAATTGAAAGCTGCATTGCTCAGTTTCTTTTCTAAGTGTGGATGATTTCTTTTCTACATTTCTTGAGGGGACACTCCTGAGAGAAGGTGGCCTTCCCCTCACCAAGCTTTCATTCCCAAGTGTCCTTCTAATTCAAGGATGTTTCTTCCTAGATGTGATGTAGAAGATTTCTACATTGGATTTTTCTGGACTCAGAGCTATTCAATAGAATTTGCTGCAATGATGCAATTTTCTTCCCTGTTCAATATAGTAGTCACTAACCATATGTAGCTATTGAGTATTGAAACATGCTCAATTAATTTGAATGAATTTAAATAGCCATGCGTGGCGAGGGGCTACCATTTTGTAGAACAAAGCTTTAAATAACCCTAGAAGAGTGGACGTTTCCAATCAATTATCATGTCCTCACTACTGTACAGTAGCTTTGGGTCTCTAGTGGTAAGTGATGGGGATTTCTGATTTTGAATTCCATACTAGAATTCGAGATCATTTGATAAAGCATCTCTCTGAAAGCTTTAAAGTTGTGTTTACTTCCCCTTGTAAAACAGCACACTGACCATGCTCTGTACTATAGTAATTATGGGATCAAAGAGTTGCCCAATCTTTAATTAGGAGTTTCTTCCTAATATGGGAAAAACATAGTCTTTGAGAGTTCCAATTGGGAAAAGGAATTTTTAATCCTATAAAATTTCTACCCAGATTTGGAAATATTGCCCATTAAATTCTTATCATTACAAAACAGGGGATTCCTGTTAAAAGTATTAGGGGAAATCTACTTTTCTGTTTTTATTACATCTAGGAGAACTTGAATTGCTCATATAGGGACTTCTTACTCAATATGAAAATAGCTTAATCACCCCTCCCCCTCTGGTAATGTAAGTAATATATGCTCATTGTAAAGCTTCACACAATACAGAAAAGTATAAGGAACTCTTGCCACCTTGAACCATAACCACCATTAACATGGTGAAAGGCCATCCTTTTATCACTCAAAGACTGTTCATCACAAGGGATAAGTTGGCATAGGCTGTGACTAGAAAAGCAGTTGTACTTGCTGCATTCTCAAGGGACCCTTACCTTGGGAAAGGAGACCTTGCAGAAAATGACCTGAAGCCATCTAAGAGAAAGAATGACCTACAGTTAGCCTAAAGTCTGAGGGATACCATGGAAATGGGACCAATGTAAGTCTATGAAGGGCCTTCAAAAAGCAGGCAGATTTTGGGAAAGCAGAGTTGATTTTGTCTTTCAAAAATTTTTGTTTAACGTTGCTCATTCTAATGTCACCTTCCATAAATAAAATGTTGGATTTCTTATTAAGTGAGATGTGTTTTGCAATTTGAAATTCTACTGGGAAGATGGACCATGAAAGTAACCAGCTATGATGATAACAAGTTAAATAATTATCTCACCATCGAATGAGTTTCTGATTCAAAGATAAGACCTTTAAAGTATTTCTCATGTTTGTTTCAATTACCTTATGATTGTTATCATTTCAGATCACCCTTATTTTGTTGGTGTCCAATTCCATCCCGAGTTTTCTTCTAGGCCGATGAAGCCTTCCCCTCCATACCTGGGACTATTACTTGCAGCAACTGGGAACCTGAATGCCTACCTGCAACAGGGATGCAAACTTTCCTCCAGGTAACCAGCTTACTGCTCTTAACAATAACCCAAGATATGGTTATCAACACTCTAGGTTTTTGATAAAATTTAATATCATTGTAGGATTTCTTCTTCTTCTTCTTTTTTATCCTCACCCAAGGACATTTTTCCATTTTTTGTTCAGGTAGAGTGGGAGGGAGAGAGAGGAACAGAGAGAGAGAGAGAAACATCGACGTGAAAGGAACACATCGAGTGGCTGCCACCCGCATGACCAACCAGGGCCGGGGACAAACTGCAACCGAGGTATGTGCCCTTAGCGGGAACCGAACCCGGGTCTCTCAGGACCGCAGGCCGACGCTCTAACCGCTGAGCCAAACCGGCCAGGGCTCTTCTTCTTCTTTTAAATCTTCTCCTGAGTATATTTTTTCATTGATTTTTAGCCAGAGTGGAAGGGAGGGAGGGAGGGGAGGAGAGAGAGAAAGAGAGAGAAACATCAATATGAGAGAGGCATATCAATCACTTGCCTCCCACACGACCCTGATCAGGGCTGGGATTGAACCTGCAACTCAGGTATATGCCCTTGACTGGAATCAAACTCATGACCCTTCAGTCTTTGGGCCAACACTCTAACTGCTAAGCCAAACCAGCCAGGGCTAGGATTTCTTTTAAAAGTGAAAAATCATTTTTCTTTCTTAACAATTGTGACATTTTCTTTCAATAAAAATGATTTAGCCCTGGCCGGTTTGCTCAGTGGTTAGAGCGTCAGCCCAAGGACCGGGGAGTCCTGGGTTTGGTGTCCACTAAGGGCATATACCTCGGTTGCAGTTCATCCCCGGCCCTGGTTGGGGTTGCACCATGGGTGGCAACCCTCGATGTTTCTCTCTCTCTCTCTTCCTCACTCTCTCCCTCCTGCTCTATCTAAAGATAAATGCAAATCTCTCTCTCTCTCTCTCTCTCTCTCTCTCTCTCTCTCTCTCTCTCTCTCTCCCCCCTTGGGTGAGGATTAAAAAAAAAAAAGATTTACTCCTATCTGCAATAGTAAACTGTCAGTTTTCAAATCATGCTAATGCTGGACATTATTTCAGAATTTTTTGTCATTTTGATAAATGAAGAACAGGATTTTCTTTTGTGGATTCTTTTTTTTTTTTTATCCTTACCTGAGGACATTTTTTCACTTTTTGTTCAGATAGAGGGGAGGGACAGAGAGGGAGAGAGAGAGAAACATCGACGTGAGAGGGACACATTGAGTGACTGCCACCCGCACAACCCAACCAGGGCCAACGACAAACTGCAACTGAGGTACATGCCCTTATCAGGAACCGAACCTGGGTCTCTCTCTTGGGTCACACTTAGCCCCGAGCTGCACAAACACAATGCAAGCCTAATTCCTTGAGATTGTGGGGAAGGTCGAGTCTCTGACTCAAGACCTCTAGGCTTTGTGGACTCTGTCAGACACGTAGATGGCTCCCAACAATTTCTTGGTTCAGGGAGTATTCCAATTTACTGAGGTTATTTTGACTAAAAAGGCTCAGCTAGAGGGCACACAGTGACTTTCCCAATCATCAATTATGGAGCAACACAATGATTTACCAATCATCAATTATGGGGTTATAAACATGCCAGCACATTCCCCACTGGTTTTTTTTTTTTTTGAGGAATCAAATCATTGATCCCTCGTCATTTCCAGTACAGATATGTTAGTGGCAATAACATGTCCATCATGGGTCCGACTAAGGCTACTGAATCGGCTGGTGGAGATTTCCCTGAGTCAGAGAAACAGAGGTTCCAAGTAGCAGGATCAGGATTGGAGTGATTCGACCGTCAAAGGGTCGTCTGTTCGTTGAAGGGTCCATTTTTCTGGTATCTGGTCGGGGTGTGCCTTCTTTACCTGGGAGTGATGAATCCAGAAATGGCAACCTGCTACCTTAAGGGTTGTCGGAGTGGTGAGGATTACAGGCAGGGGACCAGTCCATTTAGGTTCCAGGGAAGCAGGCTGAATTTTCTTGATCTAGATCCGATTTCTGGGCTGAACATTGTGGAGATCTGAGTCACCTGGAAGAGAAGGCTGGTACCATTTGACATGAAGCTGTTCTTGTCCATGTAGAGATCAGCATCTGGGTCTGGCCAGGGTGTGTCTCTTAGGTCTGCTCGAAGATCAGCCAGGGAGTCCAGGACCTTGAGGCAGCCATGAACAGGGTCATCATCAGGCAGCAAGGTGGCAGGGTCTGGGGCAGCAGTCCCTAGGAATTTAATCCTCGGGGTGTCCAACAAGAGCACCTGACACTGGACAACTCTGGCATGGAACATAAACCTTGCCTCAGGGTCAGCTTAGAGGCTTCCTTAGTGTGCAGGGCTGTAGCCACTATAGCCCTTAAGCAGTGTGGCCATTCAAGTCATATAGGGTCCATAAGGTCCCAGAGCTTACCAGGACATTATAGCTTTTTTCCTGAGCTTTTGAAATCTTCAAAATTATTCAATAGGTATTGCAATGGAGTTTTTGTACCAGATTGACTTTGGCCCATGATAACAAAGGGAAGTGCAACCAGACAACAACAGACAATCAGGAGGGCCAATAAACAAACAGACGGACTGAAACCAAAGTTCCCTGTGACGTCTCGCTGGGCAACCTGAATTAAGTTCCCTGTGACATCTCACTGGGGAACCTGACCTGGGAAGTAATGCCATGTCCAGCCTTCCTCCAGCCACCGAATGGCATCAAACAGAACAAACCGAAAGTTTGTACTCACCAGTGAGATGGTTAGGGAACCTGGCCGGGGAAGTAATGCCACGTCCAGCTCTCCCCCTTGCCACTGAAAGGTGCCTACCAGACTGAGCAGAAAACAGTACTCACCAGTGAGATTCCAGATGACTCAGATGAGTCCAGACGCTCTCTCAGAATTCAATTTAGAGCAGGATTTGAGACCGGGCTAGGGAAACTGGGAGGGCAGGCTTAATCCTATGGAACGTCTCTCCGAGGCCTTCCCCTAGACTAGCCCCCCATCGCAGCTCCGATAGCTGGTCTAGTGGTCTGGTCTGGGGCTTCCCCGTAAGGGAAGAATCTTGCTGGGGCCTCCAAATGTTGTGGCGCGAGAGAACCGAGAGACCACCAGAGCCAAATTAAAGCCAAATAGAGAGCAAAGCCGGCCAGTGACTGATCCCGAGTTCTTGGAAACCAGCCCTGGGGCCTCCAAATGTTGTGGCGCGACAGAGTCAAAGAAAGACCACTAGAGAATTGAAGTCCAATTAAGAGCTGTTTATTAGCCGGCCGACGTCTGATTCCGAACACCCCTGTGACAGAGTCTTCGGAATTAGCATCGATATGCTTTATTACATGCCTTTTATACCTTACAGAAAGTAGGACCTTCTTGATACAATGCCCAGGGCCACAGCAATGCTGTATAGAATTAGTTTGCCTTTCAGATAACAGAAACACCCAGGCTCACCCAGGCACACCCAGGAACACCCAGGTATTTCAGGTATTTCAAGGTACATTGGGTCACACTTAGCCAGGAGCTGCGTAAACACAATGCAAGTGTAATTCCTTGGGGGAGGTCGAGTCTCTGACTCAAGACTTCCAGGCTCTGTGGACTCTGTCAGACACGTAACCAGCTCCCAACAATTTCTTGGTTCAGGGAGTATTCCAATTTACTGAAGTTATTTTGACTAAACAGGTTCAGCTGGAGGGTACACAGTGACTTTCTCAATCATCAATTATGGAGCGGCACAATAATTTACCAATCATCAATTATGGGGTTATAAACATGCCAACACAAATTTATGTAGTCAAATCTTTTACTTTTATGAATTCTGTCTTTAATGTCCTGTGTAAAGTCTTTCCTCATCAAAAGGTTTTGTAAATAATAACCAATTTTTTTTCCACTAGCACTTTTATGGTTTCAATTTCAAATAGTAGTTTAAATCTATAAACTATATGAACTTTATGTTTGGTATAGTGTGTAAGGTAGGGATCTGGCTCCCTCCTGCCCCAATTGTTAATAAGTAGAGTAATTAGATTTGTTTTAGGGACTTTTGTTTTATTCTATTAATGTTTTCACCTCTTATTTCTGAACTCTTATAGCCCTTTTCATTATCATAGCATTATTGTAAATCAAGCCCTTATCTATACTATTCCCATTATTATTTAACATTTTTGAAAAGGTATTTTACTGCTCTTCCAGATGAATTGTAGAACGATTTTTAAAATCAGGTTGAATAAAATATCTCTTATAGGTTTTCGTTAAAATTGCTTTACATTTAAATATTAGTTTGGGGAGAATTTATATTTTACTTTTTCTTATCCAAGAATATTATATGTAATAATTTTAAAACTGGAAGAAACTAGTCAGAATTATAGACTATACCTAAGTTAGTACCATACCTAGGGTTAATACCATAATAACTGGGTATGTGTTGTTTAGAAGATTACCATTGCTGACTCTCATCCTGGCAAACAACCCTTGTGGTATTGCAATTGAGGACTGCTGGGATCGGTGCATGGTGTATATGTGTGTGCTTGTGTTATGAAAGCCTGCTTATTTGTTACATTACTTGCTAGGAGAAGCTCACAGTTCCCTAGCATTTCCTTTAACTATGAGTTCATATGGGAACAACTTCATATATTTTGCGTGTCAGGTATCTTACTGAATTAGTGATAACTCCTTGCACTCTTGAACCAGTGCACTCTTTTTCACACTGTGCCCTATGGAGCTGGAGCCTGGCCTGCTGTGAGGAGCAGGCTGAGGGGCTCCAGGCTCTTCTCTGTTTCAGTCAAGCAGCTCTACTTCATCTGGTTCAGGTGATATGGTTCTGCATGAGATTTCATGCAAAGATAAGGTTCCTGTGTTCTGAGGCTACACGGTTTATGCAGCAGATTGGAGATTCCAGTGTGTTCCCATGTTGGATTTGTGCTGTGACCCTTCTCAGCCACTTTATTGTCTCCATTATTTCAGTGATCACACGTGAAAGAGGGTGACAGTGGAGTAAATTAGATGTCTGGGAGAAATAACTCACACTTAATAATTCACACATAATTCTCTGGT